TTACAGAACGCGGCATTCAGATCCGATTGTGGGGGTTTGGAACTTGAGGAAGCCAATTGGGGGTTTGTTGCTTATCTGGATGGATCGCCGAAATGGCTTCAGCTTTTCGAGGGTGAGGATGATCTGGGGAATCTGGGGGATAAGTAGAGGCAGGCCCCGCAGCTCTCTTGAAACGGTGCGATGCCGAATCTGAACTCCCAATAATTACCTATCACATCAAAACCACCTTCAATGAATGAGCTGAACATCAAGAGTGGCCGACGAGTGTCATTTGGAAGAGGTGGAGCTGGTAACATACGTGAGCTTCTCCTGGTTCGTGATGACTATTACCCTTCGCTGACATGCACCTCCCCAGGTCATTACGCAGATGCCAGACTAGTTGAAGAGGAGCCATCTGTGGGAGTGCGGCGACGAAGCAGTGTTTGGAGTACTTCGTCGTCAGACTCATCACACAGAGGGTTAAGTCTCGTCCATAGCGTACGAGATGTATTCAGGAGGAAATCACTAGATGACACTCCCGAGGAATCTCTAGCCGATGGAACTAGGAGGAAAAGCACGCACTAATCAGCCGTGGATAACGGACTGCGATGCGAGCTTTTTAGATACTCTCAGACACTCAGTAAATAGGGTTGGATTATGGTTTGTTCGATAAAGACAGCAATGTTATCACAAAGGTCATGGGGCTTCGACAAGGAATATGGAGTCAGCCTGATTAAGTCAATTTGGCAAAGAGGGCTTTGAGATTGTACGATATGATATGATCAAAGGAGCTTCAGAACATACCTCAGCCACGTACAGTATGATGTTGATGTCACGCGAGACAACATGGTCCGCAGTCCTCTCTCAACATCCCGGCAGTCCGGTCACGGTATCGGCCAAAGTCCACCGGCCTGTACAGCTAGTTGTTGTGCCATTGCCAGCGATCAGATCAACATTCCGAAAACTGATATCGTGACAAGGAAACCTCTGGCTACAAGTCAGGCTGACTCGGTTGGTCGCTCCAGAGAGCGTCCCGGTGATGTTAGCGAAGACGACATTGGATATTTCCATGTTACTGGTCCCAGCGAATGACCCGTTATCACCATTGTTTTGGTAAAAAGAAGGGGCATTATTAACCCTCTCATACTGAACGTTTGAGAAGATTACGTTGTGAATTCGGCCCCAGCCACCGCCACGGGATTCTCCTGCGCTTTCATAGCCATCTTGAGGCACAAGTTCGCCGATCCATGTTTTGAGATAAATTCCGTAGCGCAGATCCACCGGTCCCCGTTTGAGCTGAGGGTTTATTTTAGTCATGGAGTTTGAAAGGGCTATGGACATGTCGTGCTCACCGTTAAGTCGTCCATGGCAATGTCCTCCACGCCTGAGTCCTCGAGATACTGACCCAAGCTTCCAATCGCAATGCCGTTACCACCATTGCAGGTAACGCCTTCCAAGGTTACGTTATACGAGCGGGGTTTGATGGCAACGCAGTCATCTCCGCCGGTGTAGTTGAAGCCCTTGACACGAACATTCTTTACATCCATGGTGTCTGCATAATTCTCGTCAGTACTTCACATAGATCATCTCAGCATAATCGCCACCTACCAAAGCCATCCGTATTTTGAACCCAATTATATCTCGAGGGTGCCTTTGTAGAAGTAGCATTAACAGATATATTCTCGAAATGCATGTCCGTTCCGTTCATGATGTTGTAGGCCCAGAACTGGGGCTGCCTGATGTAGAAATTCTTGACTGTCACATCGCTGACGTTCCAGAGCACGAATGGCTAACAAGAAACATTAGCTCAGTACCTTATTCAGTGATTATCGTGGTAAATTGGGAATCAATACCATTGGACGGCCTTCAACTGTTGTACCCTTTTCAGCGGTATACCATGCGTCTCCGTTTCCGTGGATACCGCCAGTTCCATGACCATTGATATGAATGCCATCCCCTGACAACACGAAGCCAGCGCGGTGATTTTGAAAGAAAACAAAATACCCATCGGATCTCCAGAAATCAATGTTGTCCGAAAACTATCAAGGTCAGCTTTGGACGGAACTGATGAACTCGGGCTTGGGCGTTATCTTTTTACAGTCCATTCTCCCCGCCATTGGATGTTCACGTCATGGACGATGGGGTTAAGCTTTCGATCAATCCAGTAGTTCTTATCCTCAGGAAAGATGATGGTTCCAGATGTCCCGCAGATATTAAATGCTTCCAAGATATTGTCCACGTTGCTGACTTGGTCGCCATTGGCAAACACAGTACATTGAGGTCGTCCTAGGACATCGGTAACTGCAATTGCGGCGGCTTTGGTGGCATTGATGAATCCAAAAAGTAGGATGAAGAGCAGATTGAAAGTCGTTGGAGCGAATGAAGCCATGATATGGTGATCTCGATCATCGAGTTCATGTGGCTACTGTATAATCCAGCGGCAATAATTAAAAGTCGACTGGAATTTATATCACTTTCAAGTCTGGTCAGTATCGCTTCATCCATGATTCATCCCTCATCATCTGCAGCTGCGATGCACTTAGTTGCTCCTGCTAACGCCTGCTCTCGCCATCGATAATATGCCGAAGTCCATTTGTTACCCCGAGATCACGAAGACGGCGCTTCAATGATCTCCCAGCTCGTCAATAGATCTTGGGGATATACGTTGGAAGATTGCCAAAATCGAGCGAAGACTGCATAACTCGGCCAATTTCTACAAATATGCACCAATCCAGTCACGCACTTGACAACAGGTAAGGATTCCTTCCGTCCGGGGCCTGCAACCCTCCGTCACTAAGATTGTCCGGCTGTTTAGCCTGCCCTACTGCTGATCGCTTCCTCGAAACCCCGCATATCGCGCACATCCTGATTCCATACGCCGGGATATTGGTCCCGTTCGGTAGTATTTGTGACGACAGCACAAGGCATCGCGAATCGATGTACCTTATTTGCCTAGGTATGGAAACTTTTTAGAAAAAGGAAAAGAAAAAAAAAGAAGAAGAAGAAACCTTGGTTCTAAGAAGCAGAGTTGTCTAGGAACCTTCTTGCATTGACCTGGAGAGAGTAGTTATCCTCGAGAGTAATTGACCGTCCGTTTTAGCTGAGCTTCCAAGCCCTACATTCGAAATTGATGGTTAAGAACGTTCAAAGTGATTTGCACATGTAGGATTTCAAGTGAGGAGTTTCCCGACAGAGTCTAGATGCATGAAAGCATTGCGACTGGGAGTTGAAGCGCAGCAATCAAACTTTGGATAATTTTCGAGCGTTTTCCCCCTCAGCGTATGCTGTTGTTTCCTTTCAAATCGCACACATGGAACCCAAGGCCTACATACACACTATAGAGGGGACCAACGTCATGGATGCTAGCCTGAATGATCTCGGCCGAGCTGTCCCACGCGATATCGACTCGATAAACATCCATTATCCGCGGGAAACTGACGAAGTACTGTTTCCACCAGTGATGCAGCCCTTGAGACTTCGCCTCCATGATCAATACGCTATCGCGCCATCGCAATCTTTCACGCTGACGTATGGGGGCTGACTAGGTCTGCATCTGCGGCGAATGTTCGTGCGATGACAGCTAGCTCGCGGTCATCTCTGACCCGATACTGAGGTAGTGCATGCATCTCACATCACGAACTTGTAGCTGAGGCCATTTCTTGTCTGTGGAGGCATTTACGGCGAGTTGCGGATCCGAAGGCCGATGTCGTATTTTGATCCAACCTGATCGGGCCTTTTCCATATTAGACAGCAAAGTCTGATATGCCGCAAAAGAAGAAATGTACATCCTCCGGCTCCTACAGATTTCCGAGCGCATTCTCTTCGAGCACACCTAACAATACATCAGGGTACAGATCAGCATGATCCGCTTCATCCGACCGTCAATGGCCAAAACAGGTTCATCACTGTTGATACAGCATGACTGGAACATGTGGATAAGCCAAGGTCAACCCTGAATCCAAATTTAACAAATGGAGACTTGGAGCATGGTTTATTTACGCTTTAGTAGAAGCTTTTGAGTAATTACCCACACATACACCGTTTTAGACAGGTCCCCGTTGCATGTTCCGATTTTCTTTATTTGCGACTCAGTCTAGCGGCTGATTCCTAGACCACCTCAAGTCGAGGTGTTCTCCGAGACGGCGATAGCTCTGTCGACTCAAGAAGAGCAAGATCTTGATTCCTCAACTAGATCCAGATCGTATGGGGACTTGGATTAAAGATAATCAGGTGGAGATGTCAGAAGAAGCTTCGTAATATACCTTAGACCAACTATGGAATCATCGGCAGCGAAACCTCAGCAAGAGATTCAAAAACGGGGCAAACGTTCTCTCACGGCTCTATTTGCAGAACCCTGCAAGAGCAAAGGTCAAGCAGAGGGTTGATAAGAAGTTTCATGCATCGGGTCATGCTGAAAAAGGAGTCACAATCCGTGCCTCCACCCAGAACAAGAGATCGTATTCAGGCTTATCAATTTAACACAATCGGTGACGGTGGGAAAGTTTGAATAAGTAGGAAACCTCCATCGTGACATTGAAGCCCCTTGTTATAGCATCATTCAGGTGAAGCCTCCCGGATCCACCTCAGGAGAGCCTTTCGTAGACCCGAAACAAAGCCGAATGGAATCTTTTTCGTGACAACACTTTCTTTCGTGATAGTGACAGGAAGGCGTCTTAGATATTTCGGGCCGTCTGTCTATCTGGTCCACAATATGATTCTCTTAGAGAATAGCATCGTACGATACAGACTAGTAGTTGAGAATATTGAGTTATCTCGTATGTTAGCCAAGTCCGTCGGGACCACGGAACTTCGTCGAATTTGAGAAGCTTTTCGAGCTGTCGAATTACAGGCAAAGGAGATATTCGGCGTATCTCAATGTCTATATAAGAAGACCAGTCGCTCGCCTGACATTTAGCAGCATTCTATATGCAGACACTCATCGGTTCATTCGTCCAACGTACTAAACTTACTTGAACTCTTACCAACTCTGATCTTGCAAACGCATGCGCCTGTATCTTAAAATGCAGTCTAACATCATTATCTCCCTTCTTGCCCTTGTTGGCAGTGGTCTTTGTGACTGGCCTGCTCCGGGAACTGTCGCCCACGACTCTCTCAATCCTGTGGTCGATACTCTTGGCCCCAATGGAAACGTCATCAAGAAGTTTCAGCCGCTGCTGCACATTGCCCATGGCTGCCAGCCCTATCCCGCTGTGAACAAGAACAACCAGATCAGGTACGTAGCTTTTGCCAAAGTTTTGTGTTTTCAGACATACTGACAGAGAGGGAAGCGGCGGTTTGCAGGATACTGGAACTACCTCGGGAGGATGTAAGGACGGCAACAAAGGGCAGACCTACGCCCGTTCCATGACTCTGAATGGAAAATTCGGCATCATGTATGCTTGGTACTGGCCCAAGGATCAGCCAGCTGATGGGAATGTTGTAGGCGGCCACCGTCACGACTGGGAGACTTCGGTCGTCTGGCTTGATTCTGCTTCAGTCAATACCGCTACCATCACGGGTGGCGCCTGTTCTGGACATGGCAAGTTCAAGTTGACCAGCAACCCTCAAAGAAGCAGCAACAACGTCAAAGTCGAATATTACACCCAGGGTGGTTTGGACCATGAGTTACAGTTTACGAACACCGTGGGCCGAACATACTGGATCTGGGACTGGGATGCCATGGAGCCTATCGTCCAAAGCGCTCTGAACAAGGGAGACTTCAAGAAGGCAAACTGTCCGTTCAACGACAACCACTTTGAAACAAACATGCGCGCCACCTATGTCTAAGCAACTCGGCGTCGCGTGAGATTAGGGCATTAGAAGGACTCGCTGATGTCGGTCTCTTGGAACGTTGAACTATTCACACTTTGAACTAGCTCAGATACCTTACAATACACTCTGATGTCACTCTCAGTGTCTTTTCGCGCTATTGCAGTGACTCGTGGCAAAAAAAAGGCCCCTATATATAATGACCTCTAATTAATGATCGTTTCTTCCGCTTGTTTAACCGTATGCGTCCAAGACGCGTTGTGTCTGACGATATTGCGCGCATGTGCCAACGCTTGCGGTGAGACTTGAATCTTACAGAAATAAGAGCGTGATGTGACTCTTATTTCAAGCTTGGTTTCTATATATAAATCATTCTAGATGACATGTGTCATCTGACCTTACCGTTGACCAGTGTCTTAGCTGCTCACCATACTGTTGTGAGTAATCCGATCCTTGCTTCTTATCCTTAAGCTGGCACCTTTCGGTTTGTGCCTAACTACTATGTTTAATGACGAGAACAATTGCATGAACCTGATAGCCTTTGGAAATTTCATAGGACCATTAAAGTGCTTTGCTAGCATGGTGGGAGACTGAGCCCCAGCTTCGGGCAGATTTCTCGTTTCAGACTCGTCCACGGACCGTGATCCTAGCTACGCACGTGGGCAACCTATGCTGACATAGCAAAGTCAAAAGATTAAATCTGAAACCTTCTAGGACTTCACGTTGAGGCATGACATCGAGAAAATGAATGACCTGCTGCGAACCGTTGCGTGGTTTACTTCGTGATCTTCAGGCATAGACGAAGATCCGCGTATGCACTCCAATATGTCCATCCGCCGCGAAATCGACAAAGATGGAGATCTCATTCTTGTGCTCAGCCGGCTGGGCATAGACGATGCCGATGTTGCCGAAGATAGCGAAGATGGTGTAGACGCCGATGCGAAGCTCCTAGAATACGAGCAATTACAGAACAAGGAAGTAAGGGTATCTTCGAAGGTTCTGATGCTGAACTCGCCAGTCTTCAAGGTAATGCTGGGAGGCAAATTCAAAGAAGGCACAGAATTGGCCAAGAGCACCGGACTCTCACTTCCGTACAGCCTTGATCTCCCGGATGACGATGCCGAGTCCATGTCTATTCTGAGCCAGATTCTTCACAACGCCTATGTTACCGAGAGACCAAAACCCATCGGCCTGGCGAGACTTGCTTTCGTGAGCGACAAGTATGAATGCACCGGGGCATTTAAGTACTGCGGAATGGTATGGATCAGGGATTGGCTCTCAGACTACGATGAAAATGTGCCGCCAATGGCAGACCTTTGTCACCTCTTGGTCTTTTCATATGTCATAGACCTCCCCCTCGAATTCTCAGAGTTATCGTGGAGAATCTTCCTCCACCACGAAGGACCAATTTCGAGAGGCTCGGAGCAAGTCAAGGTATTGGCAGATCATCCTCTGCTGAGGCATGACATCATCCGTAAGTAACCTTGTTCACGGGGCTCATGTGGAGGATCATCTTGACGTTGATTATTCAGGATGTTTGGAGGCGAAAAGACACGAATGCTGCAACTCATTCTACAAGGGTCTCGTTAGCCCCATGACTTGGACGTGGGACATATCTCAAAACCCTTGTGTGAGATCCGCCAAAGCACTGGCGTCGTATATCGAGACTCTCCGAAAGTCCAACATTCTGCCAAAAGACATCGACTTCGCGACTCACAAATTCTGCAACCTGCTCAACACGGCAGTTGATCTTCCCAAGATCACGATGATGGATTTCTCGTGCATACGGGAGGTTGGGGTTTGTGGCTGCCGCTCGAATAAGTACGCCAACCGCAACTTGTCGTATGAAGTTGAAAAGGAGGCAGTCAAGATCATCCAGCAAAGACGGGTGTTTAACTGCCTGGATTGTTTGAAAAGCGACGGTGCATCTGGGAAGCAGAGGTCATGTTGTATTCCTCATTAACCACCAAAGCAAAATTAATAAAAGTCCTTGAACTCTAGAATAGGAAGAAAAGGTAGTACTCGCGCAAGAAGATGCTGAATGAGGTAAGGTGCTTTATGAGAAATAACCGGACACAGAAAGTTTGCCTCCAGATTGAGTGAAATCATCGTTTTTCAACTATTTGAGATTACTACTATCAGCCTGTGGCTACGTCATGGTCGATTTGCCTCCTCATATGGTCATGAGGAGTTTGTCTACTTCGGCACCTTGTTTGCTGCTTCAACTCAGCTATGAATTAAACCCCAAGTAACAAACAGCATCTTCTGATTGTTGTAACACTGCACAGTCCCTTGCAGCCCAAGCTTTCCATTCTGTGCCATGACACCGTATCTCGTCGTGTAGAAGCGGATATCGTTCGTGCCAACGTTCATAGGGCTAGCCGCGCTGCCAGAGTCGGCATATCTGACGGCAAAGCTGCAAGTTCCGGAGCTCACTACAGTAGCGCATCCGTTGGAAGAGAAGTCTCCGGGCTGCAAAGTCCAAAATCCATTCTGACTGCTGAGAGAGCTGGCGAGTGCCTGGCAGTCTGCTGCCAGCGGAGCGGAAGCTGAGAAATCTGTCGCTGGGTCCTCGGCCATCTCTCCGCACCACTCGTCTCTACCGGAAGAGAAGGGGAATCTTTTGGATAGGCGAACTGGCCGTGTGCCTTCTGATCCCTGGGTGAACTTGATGTTGCGGTTCATGCGTATTGTTGAAGTAGTGCCATCGGCGTTGGTGAATGTGCGAGGGACCATGAGCTCAAAATCCTGTACCGATGCATTTGCTACTGAGAGCAAGCCAAGGGTGACGAGGCCAAGTATGGACTTGGCTGAGATGTGCATTGTGATGTAATTAAATGGGTCGAAATTTCCTGTCGCGAGGTTGCTGTGTTGAAAAGACGTTCGTCAAGGACGAGCAGTTGAGTCTTGGCTTTGATTTGAGCTTTATTTGAGTTGGTTATTGGAGCAGGAGCGAGAATTGATTGATGGTACTCCGAAGATCGAAACAAGGGAAAACAACATGGGAACAGGCTCTCTTATATTAACATAATGACTAGCAAACAAATGCCCTCGTGGACAAAGGCAAAAGGAGTGAAGGGACGGGTTGCGCCGAATCGCTGCGCGTGATTCATTCCCTGCAACTTGATGTTTGCTGCCAATGGCCGTGTCTGATTCAGTCGAGCTTACGAGAAATCAGCTCGGTGATGAGCGCGGGGTCCAAAAACGCCAAGTGATTCGCTCTGAGATGTTTGACAAAGCCATGGCCCCCGATGCTTTATGAGAGGGCCCCGCATTGCGACCGCATTGCGGGCATAGCGAACTCGATATGTGAAGTTGATCGGGGGCGGTCTCGCGATGCTGTTGGGCAAATGAGTTTACGTGATGGTCCTGAGTGTGATAGTGACGGGAAACGGCCCCCGGGAGAGCGGGGATTGGCACCGGAAGCGCCCAGGGCGGACGTGACATTAATGCGGCACATGTGTGCCCTGTGGGGACCAGCCAATGACAACGCTGTACCGTCATGTTGGTTTGGTTTAAGGATCTGCAAGCGTCCCCAGCCAGAGTGATGAGAGCTAGATTCGTGCATGAAATCAAAGTGATGATTCGGGGCCCCTGAATTGAAAGCCCTCGATTCAGGTCGGGGCCGTCGGAGACTTTGGGGTTCTCTAGGCGAAGGCTGCATGGTTGCTCGCAGTTGGGGGTTGCACACTATTTGCTATGACCAGTAAGACAAACTTCCACATTTCTTCGCAAGGACGGCTTTTTCGAGGTATCGACTCGGACCTAACCTCTTCTTCCGCTGCGAAGTGGAGGTTGAGGTAGGCATATAGGAAAACATTATTGACCCTTTGTCAGGGGCAGATTTATGATAAGTGTCATTGTGTGATCAGGCAGTCGGTGAGGAAACCCTCGATTGCTACCTGCCCATCAGGCCACCTCAGTTTGGAAACAAACCCCCCTCTCCCACAGCTTGTACTTGGTTCAACCTCGTCCGAGTCCAGTGAGACATTATCGGTCAGGCAAGGGCACGGGCAACGTCGGCCTCCAGATTTGATACTGCCTGTCTAACGGCATCCATTCCACTCATGTCGTCTTCAATGAACCTCGTCGCTTCGTAGAGATGGGGCTGTCCCTCAGCAAGGAAGAGCTTCACCTTGCTATCGCCGAGACAATGAACCATGTGAGTGCTCACAGAGAGGTCAACATCTTCATCAGCGTCACCCTGTATGATGGTCGTGGGTGGCCACGACGCAGCTCTACTCTCTCCCATCTCACTTTCGGCCCATTCGTAGCCTGGGTCAATTTCACCCACAAGATTGAGAAACTCGTTGCGGTAAAGGTAGTAGTCATAGAGACATCCTCGGGGGAACTCATCGCAGTTGCCATCATCTGAGATGGGGAGTGGAGGCAATACAAATGCGGTATTCTTGGCGCCATCAGGAAGGATCTTCTCAACATGGAAGACCTGTGGATTATTTGCGGATGTCACTCCTATAGATACCGGCGCGGATAAGTGGTGGCTCATTTGTGCTTCGGTTATGGGTTCCGGTGTAAGTAAGACTGAAGAACTGAAGAATGGATGACGGAAAGTAGTGATACCGGTGATTGATAACAGAGCAAGGGGAGTCGGGTGGAGGTGGTGAGCCGTCAGAGAGGCAATGAAGAAACCTAGGGCTCAAGTCAGGGCCTCGATGAAGGCTTTAGGCGACGTGATGATGAGCCTCTTACCCGCACTTGATCCACCTACAATCACTTTTCGATTTGGGGCAAGTTCATTTGTGATTGCCCAACGCAGGGCAAAGGAGTAAGCGTCAGTGGCATCTTGGAGCAGACCTGAAGCTTTGGCCTGGGGAAGCATCCGATAGCTCGCACTGATGAGAGTCCATTGATTCTTGAAGCAGACCTAGTGTGGTAAGGTCAGCTACCTTTGTCGGATGAGGAAGCACGGGTGGTTGTTCATGAAGATGAAGGGCTCACCTGTACAAGCCAAGGCGGAACACATTCCCTGGAACCGCTTACGAGGCCACCTGAGTGGA